GAAGGATGAAATGAAGGAAGGAAGGAAGGAAGGAAGGAAAGAAGAAAGCAAGGAAGGAAGGAATGAAAGCGGAAAATAAACCAGCACGCCAAAAAGAGAAAAAAAGTAAGAAGGGAAAAAAAAGGTAGAAAGAATGAAAGTAAGAAAAAATTAAATTACGGAAGGAAGGAAGAAAAGCAGAAAAAAATATAATCGAACGCAATGTATTCTGGTCTAGCTTGGGTCCAACATTTTTCTACGAGCCCATTAAGTTACCCATAATAAACCAGTATACACCTTGTTTACAACAAATTAAAAACAGAAATAATTGCTCAAATAAGCCATACTCGACAAAGGTATAAAAACCTATCAAGGTAAAGTATACAGCCTAGCGGGTGTATTCCAAAAGCTCAGTGAATGGACAACTTCGACGATACGGCGGCCATCTTAGATCTTTGTTACAGTAATGACGTCGATTGATATTAACAGCTCACCACAAGAGAAAACCACAAAAGATGAATCAAGATATTTGATATGTGATATTTAGGGGGATATTGAGAAAAGTTATTTTGCGTACATATATGAATTCAAGTTTTTTCATCTTTCAATGAAGTTTTCCTTCTCAAATGATGATGACTCAGATGATGATGATGATTATGTTGTTGGAACATTTGTCAGTGATAGTGGATAGGTGGGGTAGGTGATTTTGTGACTTGCCATTATACCCATTTTGTAAAATATTTTCTTTTTATTGAGGGGGGGGGGGGGTCCTGAATTTTTCAATCAATCTGGAAGGGGACTCACGAAAAAACTGAATGCTATCAGGTGGGGTTCTCGAATTTTTTTTGTATCATAGGCATTTTCTCTTAAATAATGATCGATCCCTTACATGCATAACGTCAGGGTCAAATTAACATTCTCGTGCAGTCTAGGTTTCTGATTGGCTCTACTACCCAAAGTTGGAATGCATTGTTTTCATTCTACATTTTAATTGGTTCTCTTGTCTAAGTGGTCTAAGTGAACCTGGTTACAGTAGTTGCACTCTAAGCTTCTAAACTTTGTTCACAAACTAAACTGAGCTAAAGCTAAATCCTCGAGAAGACGCACCAAACTAGAGAGATTACAGAAATGAGGACCAAACAATGATTTACTGATGGAGTAGGACTTGAAGACTTCACAGTAGATCCCTGATATTCCACACTCCTGCTAAGTCTTCTCCCATCCGCTGATCTGTTGAGGAAAACAGGATCAATGAGTTTGAAATACTTTATTGCAAGACAAGCTGCAGGAGAGATAACTTAGTGCGCGCAAAAAGGGGCAAACTCCGAGGCATTCTTTAGTACCAATATTTAGTAGAAAATCGTACTTTACTGCTCAAATTCGTGAGCAACTAGTTTTAGAAAAATAAATTACAATTTTCACTCTCAGCCATTTCTGAAACTATCTGTAGAACGAAGCACACGTTTTGGCACTTTTGATTCGGATGCTCACCAAGTCGGTTCAACCTAGAGCGTAGACAAGGGGGGCGAGGGGCGATGCCTTCCTTCGTGGCAACAAAATGACGGCTTAATTTGCAATTTATATAGTAATTTTTAGTTGCTTTGTTAGTTCTAGAAAATAAGACTTAAAACGCGTACCGGGCGGCTTTTTTGGTTCGACGTTTCGGGATCTCAAACGAAATGGAGCGAATTTCAAATTTCGCCCTCCCCTCCCCCTTCGGAAAACCCTGGCTACGCCTCTGCAAACTTCCTGTTGGATGAATAAATTATCTTTATGACTGACGTTGAAGCCACTAAAATGTTTCAAAAGCTCATACCAGATAATTTACTTTTCTCTCTTAGGAAATCGTACGTTATTCTTAGCGCTATATAAAATATAATGTATTATCTATTTATTATTTTACACGCGTTTTACGCCATTTCATAGCCAACTAGAAAACTGTGTTCTGATTTTCTCAGCCATTTTTTAAAATATATTGAAAAAGAAAGCACACGTATTTTTCACTTTTGAATGGATGCTTACCAAGACGGTTCAAGCTTCACGTTGCCAGTTGAAATTATTATAACTTATTTAGATTTTGAGCCGCTAGTACGGGTTTATAAATAAAGGAAAAAGCGATGAATGCGACCCTGAATTGAGATTTTTAAAATACTTAACAGTCGACTGCCTAGCAACGGTTTCTGGAAAGTTCGAGAAATTAGAATTGATGCTCGGCTTTTTTTTAACTTCGTTTTCATCATATTACTAACGACTTATAACGACTTTAGTATGGTAAAACAAAGGATATTAACTCGGGGTCTGCTGATAAACTCGTGGGCCATTATAATACTTTCAATATAAAGTTATGCATCACAAATTCTGATAAACAAAACATCAAAGATAATATCAACAACCGTCCATAATAATAAAATACAATATGATATTTGAACCTAAATTACAATATAACATGCATATACGATATCTCTATATACACTTATTTCAATAAAGTTAGTCACCTGAAAAGCTACAAAGCTGAGACCGACAAGGATTATGGGTAGATACATTTTACATGTTTCAACCTCTTGATAATAACTGTGGATGGACTTGAGATCTTCTACCAGTTACAAGTTAACCTCCTCTGAGCATCCTCAACTGCTGCAGTTTGTGTCAAAAAGCTTTACTTACTTGAATATAAAATATTTCCCCATGATTCTCAGCGATCGCAGCTTTCTAGGTTTTTGATGACTAACTTTATTTATTGAAATAAGTATATATATCAACAAATATATCCTAAAATAGATAACAATTATTCTGAAAGTGACTCGTTTGATATCCAAATATAAAATGAACTCAGGGTCTGAAAATAACTGAGGAGAAAGTGCTGCCTTTGTAATTACATCTGCAAATGGTTAGAC